ACAAGTAAATTAATGGTATATTTTGGTTTTGTCTGAGCCAAGAACACTTTTCTCCTTCAGAGTCATTTTTTCCCTGCTGCTGTAAGAATCTTCCATTCCAGTGCTTTATGTTCTGTCCACCAGCTTGCTCTGCATTTAGAGCAAGACTTCATTTCCTTTGAATGTTTCTGTTTTTGTAAACACCCCTACAAAGTACACTGCAACTCCTGAATGGCTCCTTTTTACTGGCTGCATCCACTTCTTGTCAGAGTTGGTATCTTTGTTTGAGACAAGAAAATGACTGTTCAGATGGAAGGAAATAAATATTTGTGCATTAAGACAAAAATCGGGGGGGTGGAGGAAGCAAGCTTTGACTCTGCATGCATAGGAGAGCCTTGCACTCATTCGGGCTTGTTAGTTGGTGTCTTTTAGTCTGTAAAGGCACCTTGATACTGTACTCATTCAAATTATTTAGTTGCCATTTAACGTGGTGGCTCTATTGTAGGTGTTCTTTGCTTAGTAGCTCACACACAACCGTGGGGCATCTGATTTCTTTGAAAACTTTAGGTGGCTTTTATCATTGCTCATTGAAGCATTCACAGAAACGCTGGGAAAACATTTGCTCTTGCAGAGAAGACTTCACAGGAAATGAAGTTGAGTACTAGCCAGCTTCATTCAGCTCCCAGCCAAGGTTTTGAAAGGGCAGGAAACCATTGGCTCTGCCTATATGTGTGTCCTCAGGCTCACGCAGAGGTGAGAGCAGTCCTATATGCCTGTTGCCCTCTGGTTGAAGCATGGCCATACCCTGCCTAGTGGTGGGCAATGAAGGGACATTTCAGTCCCTGCCCAGCAGGTCCTGATCCTTGCTTTGTGCTTGCTTGACTGGCTGACTTCTTTCTTCTGTGTATACATCCAACATCTGTTGGGCTGAGGATGGGGTCATTTGTTTCTCTATTTTAATTTTTCCCTATGCCCTTTCCTCTTTTTAGGGTTTGTATTTTGAAGCCAAATGCCAGGCCCCATTTGTTACTGCAGCAGCAGCTGTGGATTTGTTTGATTAGGGAGAGAGAAGAGCTCAGCCCAGATGGTTCTCTGTGCACTATCTATTTGTTTTGACCATGTGTGACACAAATTGCCTTCTCATAGCTGCAGAAGCCTGTCTAGGGCAGATGTTGGAAAGCTAGTTAAAGATTAACCTGCTTTATTTCTTTGTTGGCATGACTGTGTTGTAAGAATTTGCTGATGGTCACTGAGCAGGCAAGAAGCTATTATTTACAGAGCTTTTAGGAGGAGAGAGGGGTAGTGGACAGAGGTGATGGGGAGACCATGAATAGGAATGAGTGCTTTTGGGAGAGGCCTCTGAGTGAGGAGGTAACAGGCTGATTCCACACAGTGCCACCAACAGACCCAGTTGTACAGGGCAGCCAGGAACTGGATTTCTGACATGAAACTCTTCAGTGCCTTGCCTCGCAGGGTGGCAAGGACAGCCCCTCACCTCTGTTTAGCTGAGATAACCCATGGGAATGTGGAGCACGGTGCTGTGAAACTGCATTTGGGAGCTCTGTCTGTTTGCTGCATGTTGCTGCCAATTGGGCACCTTCACAAGGATGCAAACCAAAAGGACTCCAGTGTCTGCAGTGAGGAGGAATGAGCTGTCTAAAAATACAACAGGGCTTTGCGGGGACTGGGCTAGATGGAGAGAAGATCAGATGTGTGGAAAGGCTGAGGCAGCTGTCAATCCAGAAAGTGCTTGTTAAATCAAGGCAGAGATGTGTGCAAAAGTGATTTCTAGCTGTCTCAAAGTTAAAATTAACCACAGCTGGGTCACCCAAGGCAACTTCCCAGAGCCCTTCTTGTCCATTCCTTGCCTGATTGCATGCAGACAAGAAAGAAGCTGCTGATGCTTAGATGAGAACAGTTGGCGAGATGGCTGGTGAAGCTGTCTTAAGGAGCTTTTTGTATTAAACATGCCCATAAACAAAGCAGTGGGACTGCCATAGGGATGAGATTAATGGGATTCATAATCCCTATAAACAGATTTGGTGAGCAACAGTATTAATGTGGAATTGTTAATTTGCCTTGCCTAATAAGTGGTCTGCAATTGCATTTCTGTCACTGAGGACTTGAACAGTGTATTTCCTGGTCTTGCTGACCACTTGCTGCACTGAGAAGTGCTTGAGAGTGTAGTGGGTTTCTCTTGTCCTTACCCGAGCTGAAAAGATTGGGACCCAGTGCCTGCCATAATGCTGTGTAGACAAGTGACAACCAGAAGCAAAACTGGAGCCAGAGAAGAAAATACATCTTTCAGACCCAATCCAGTGCTTGTCAGATGGCATTTTAAGTATGATTAGAGGTGAATTACCTCAAGCTCTTATCTTATTAGAGTTTTTTGCAGGGGAGAGTGTGTGTGTGTGAGGAATCACACTCATGTCCCTGGTGGCTTCTGTTGTGTGACCCCTTCAAAAACTGGGCATCTCTTGGTAAGCACATGCACCACCAAGCACATGCACTTTGTGTCAGAGCTTTCTCTGGCAGTGACACGGCTTCACTTGGACATCAGAGCCTGCTTAAGGACTATGAAACCTGGTTGTCTGCTGCATGAGCCTCTATATGAATCTTCTAGCTGCTTTATGGGCATGGTGTGCTGTGTCTGCAGGAGAGCGAGCCAGGGAGCAGGGAAGTGACCAGAGTGGTAATGCAGGTTCTGCTGCCTTGTCTGGCAGCTCTGAAGGAGTTAATGTGCCTCTGTGTGTTCTCATCCCAGCTGGCTACTAGGTGAAAAATTAATTTCTAAGCCTCGTGTACCAAGTCCACTGCTTTATTTCTGGGTTAATTCTGCCTGCATAAGTACTAGGATTATGTATCGCTTACAACAACTGCTGTGTTGCGAAATGGGCCTTGAGGAAGACTGGAGAAGGGAGGATTTTATACCTAGAATTTGAGCTCCTGATGTATTTGTCAGGCAGGCTACTCTTCTGTTCTCAAAGCTGCTCCTCTGGACTGTCCTCTGTGAATGGGGACAGGTATTCCTGGCAGTGGTAGGTTATTCTGCTGAGACTGGGGGCAGTGACTGACTTGATGCTGTGGTCAGTGAGACACGGGCTTTTGGACCAGTGTTTGTGAATCTGATCCTGCTCTGTTGGGAGTAGAGAGAAAAACATCCTGAAGAAGGTTTAGGGTTTTTATTTGTTTCTGGTCTTTGTGCTTTCAGGTTCCACCCAGTGTCAGCCACCTAGTTGCAGTCTAAAAATATTGACTGTTAAGAGTGCACAAACAGAAGGTGTTTGCAGCAGGTTTTCAAGCTGTTCCCTAGACCTGCTGAGCTGGAAACATCATTACTTATTTCTTTTTTCTGAATCCTCTCTGCACCTCTGAATCCCCAGGAATCCCAAAGGAAAGGATTGAAAGAGCAGCATATACCATAGACCTGCTATGAAGTGTTGACTAGACAGTGCTGTTCGCTGGGGGTGTGAATGCCTCTGGCTTTCCTCTGAGTGCTGGGCTTTTATATCCAGCCTTCACCCAAGTGCAACAAATCCAGTGCTGAGTGCTTTTGGAAACACCACCCTGCATGCTTTTTGTGTGCAATTCACTTGCAGGCAGCCAGCAGCGAATGGGATTTGGCAGGGTTTATACTGAATGCCTTTGTTGGCTCAACATATTTCCACTGCTGCTCAGGACAAAGTAAGAGAGTGGCAGGATTGAATTTGTCCAATTGTCTTTATATATAGAAAGGACAGACAAAACCAGAACCAGTTACACTAATGCAGCTGCTCCATAGTAACATGAGAGGGGGAACAAGGGCATGAATTAGCCTGCTGGTGTGTCTCTTGTTTTGGGGGAAAACTGAGCTGTCCGTTCTGCATCCCTGTTTCTGACAGATGGATGCTGTCCTGCAGGTAGCAGCTGGCTCTGTGTACCTTGAATGGTCTAGTTGTTAGGTGCCAAAGATGTGCTTTTTCTGGTGGTTTTCTTGGGTAGGGTGTATCTGCCTGGAAGGTAGATTTCAAAGTAAGGCCTTAGCTTCCTAAAAGAAGGAATTCACCTGGCATTTTTAGTGTCTTGCAAACATTTCTGCATTATTGGTTTGGGGTGGGTTTTTCTTCCCCTCTTGTGATTCTCAGAGAAGCAGAATTTATTGAAAGAAGAGGTGAGCAAAGTGAGTGAAGGTACCAGTGCGCTATGAAATGATGCTAACAGCAGGAGAGCAGTGGTCCTGTTACTGTGAGCCTGAGGGCCTGCTGATAGGAGCAGAACTGTGTGACTCTGTTGATTAATAATGAAGTTACGTGAAGATGCAGTTGTTCTTTCCAAATTAGTGGTGATCCACAGTTGTCTGTGCTGGGCTCTCACTGAACTGACTCTTCTCCAGCAGCCAGCCACCTGTATCAGAGACCAACCTTGAACTGTGGGCTCCTGGGAGCAGCCTTGTGAGGAAGCATGGTCTGCGTGGGTCACTTGCAGAACAAGTGGGAATTGTTCTGAGACAGCAGGATGTGGAGAAACACCCTCCCTATAGGGATGTACTAAGAGGAGGGGATAACTTTTATAGAGGATTTCGTTTCTATCCAAACTAGTGCTTAGAAACCCTCTCTAATGAACTGGACTTTGCATGTGTGCTGCTTTTAATATACTCTTGTCTTTATTACCAGGACAGTTTCTGACAAAACAGCGTTTGAAATAGATCAGAGCTTCATTGTATTTGTGAAACAATTGAGTTGTTGCGACAGGAAATGAGCAGAGCAAACAGCCAAGGCTTCTATCTCTCTGATGTGAGCAAGCACTTGGCTTCCCTGCAGTGGAGTTCTGTTCCTTATACGTTTTGTCTGTCAGGCATATTTTTCATCATGCAGAGCATTGTGGCCAAGCCATTTGGTGCACACTTGCCTCATTAAAGTTTGCCAAATAATAAGAATCTAATTACAAGGCAAGGGGAAAGGTGTAAAATGGAGTTGTTCTGAACCAACTCAGATTCAGTGGCAGTGATTGGAAATCTTGGTGCAGTTTGATATCTATGTAAGAAGGGGCTTTGCTAAGTTACATTCGTTTAATGGCTTGTGGAGAAGGTATTTTTGCACTTCCGCTTGGATATGTTACTGCAGGAAGGAGAACCAGGAAATCTTTCTTATTTCCTTCTTTTAGGAATCCAGTAGCTCTTATTGGTACGAATTGATAGGAGAGCCATGATGCTTGGGTTGCTAAGACTATGCAAGGAATACTGTCCTGATCAGTCCTACAGGAGTCTACTGATACTAGCAGCTTTTGGGACTCTCCCTTTGGTTTCTCTTGAAGTTTTGTACTGAGCTCTGTTATCCCGAATTTTCATCTTCAGGCAGAGGGATGTTGAAACAGCATCTTATGTGGCTGCTTTTCCAGCCATGCTGTGTTAGTGGTATTTTGATGGCCATCTGCAGATTAGCTTGTCTGATTTACCATTTTAAGCATCTTAATTGACCTTAAATACTTTTAATTTAGAAATGGAAGTAGGTGGAAGGCTCGAGGGTTTTTGGAGCCTGCCCTGAACATCAGAAGCAGCTGCCTGTTGCCTCCTTGTTCACACTTTCCTACACACTCTGCTGCACCACCACTGATTGCAGATTAATCTCTCTGATCTTCCTTCCCTGTTTGTATGTGCCTTCATGTCTGTGTCATGCCAGCCAGCCTGCTCTGCCTTTCATAAAGAGACTTTGCCTAAGCAGAAAAGCTTGAGACACCAGGGTTAATTTACTGGCCTGTGTTATTCATTGCATAAAAACAAATGGAGAAATTACATTAGGAGAGTTTTATGTGTCTGTGCTTCTATCCTGGTGATTTTATTTTTAACCACAGCCATAAACCTCTTGTCGTGCCTAGCTTTTTCTTTTAAATAATCCCATCTCTCAGAATTGGGAATCTCATTGTCAACATCCCCGGTAGTTGTGTATGTTACTGCACGAATAGGAGCTGTGGCTTGAGTTCTTCTGGCTTCCTGGAAATGAAGTAGAAAATCCTAATTCAGTTGCTGTTTCCCCACATTCCTGTTCTCTTCATGGATCCCCTGCCCATCAGTAGGCTCCCTGCCCCTTTTCTAAATGCCCTGCAGCATTAATCCATGTTCTCAGTGGGATCTGCCATTCATCATTTGGGACTCCTCACATCTGCAATTGTTTAGGCTCCTGGGTGAGGCTATTAGGCCAGCTCAGACCTGAGCATCAGAGCTTGCTGCAATGAAGCTCAGCCCTCGGAGGGGGAGAGCAGGACAGAACCAGGTCAAGAACAAGAAGGCAGCTGGCTGCAATACTGTATTTTCACTCTGGCACAGTGCTGGCTTTTCATTCTAAGCAAGCTGCAGGTTCTCATTGTCTGTGCTGGTTCAGC